GTATGTATGTATGTATGTATGTATGTATGTATGTATGTATGTATGTATGTATGTATGTATGTATGTATGTATGTATGTTAAAACCAAAACATGATGAGTGACACTGAACCGTCAAACATCAAGTAACAAATGGATTAACACTTTGAATTGTCGTTAATTGCACATGTCGGCATTCAGTTGGATATTTTCAAGCACACAGACACGCAGGAACCGCTGCAACAAGCACGAAATGTGGTTGGTTGCAAAAAACAGTTCCCTGCTGTCACCTGATCTGACACTGATCATTTTGCCTATTTCCTTAAGAAATTTAAGGGTGTTGGGGTCCATCGGGCCGAGAACCTCGATGCATATTGGCAAGAATTCCATCGAGGGGAGGGCATTCCCATATTTTTTCATTTTCTCGTCCGCTGCCCTGGCCGCGGCCAAACCGCATTCTTTACTTGTCAGGTTTACGTATCGTTCGGCAAGGGTGCCAGGGACCGTAACATCCTACGCCAAACATCTGCCGGCTCTCCAAGGTATTAGCGTGCATCCGTCCGGTCGCCTACCATCATGCGCAGAAATGCCGGATGGTTCCTTGAGAACCGGGATTGAAGCCTTGGAGAAGAGCCGACAAACGTAATCGTTTAGCGCTGAGTGACGTAGTTGACGGCCCCCACCCAGGCGACAAACCAAACCGTGGTGCCCAAACTCGTCCGCCTCAGCGCCACATCGGCACGTGTATTTATTCTGAATGACCAGGCCAAGTCTGAAGCCAATGGCAAATCTTACAGACTCGTCGTCAAGCCTGGTGCCCACAGAGGTGTTAGGCCACGATCTCAACCACCCACAGCTGGCAACGCTGGACATGGCCAACAAACGAGCGGTGGAAAAGTCGTCGCCGCATGAAGACAACAAATTTTGAAAGATTTTTTTATATTCTTCGTTCAAAATTTGGACGTGCGTACGGTCCCCCGGGGCGGACGCTGGGGGAAGAATATCGCGGCAACGAAAAAACCGGTGGAGCAGGGAAGACTGTAGGTCGAGAGTGGCAGCGGCAGAAGAATTATAAACAACGGGAGCCAACTGAACCACGCTAAGCAACCCCAGCCCACCAAATCGCACCGGCAGCTGAGCCTGGGACCAACCACTGTCGGTCACTTGAACATTGCAAATCGACGACAGGGCGGTGCGCAGGGCTCCGTCAAATTCGCCCAATTTAGAAGGGTCAATGTGTTTAGATGTACGCAGGAAGTACATCAATTTGGGCAAACTGAGGGCATTGCGGATAATAGTCAAGGCATCATGGGCCGAAAGACAGGAAACACGACCCAGGGCGAATTCAAGCTCAGAGAGCTTTTGGTCAAAAAACTTTATTTGATAATCGCCCTCGACCAAGGGTGTGCCTAACAAACTCAGTTCTGATGCACCAACTCTGGGTATTTCAGCCAGCGCATGTGGCACCTGAAATAAACTTTGGCAGTGAAGTTCGCATTTTTTAATGTTTAACTCTAAGCCAATTGCAGCGGAGTTATGCTTCAAATATTCGTAGCTATCGGCCAGAGTTGGACCGTCCGAAGCTATGCTGATATCATCCAGATAAGCGCAAACGAAGGTGGACGAAGCTTTCTCTAAGAGTGGATGAAGAGTTAGTGCGAACAACAAAGGACCAAGGGGATCACCCTGCTGTACCCCCTCGGACGATTCTACAACCCAAGAGTGGTAGCCAAGGGAAGAGACTCCGCCATAAGCAGAATGGCAAAAATTATAGATGTTGGGGAAAAAAAGTTTGACAGCCTCCAACATCGAGTCTCTTCTCAAGACATTGAAGGCATTTTTAAAGTCCAGTTTCAGAAACCCCCATTGATCGGGGAGGTCGGTGAACACGAACCGCATGAACATGTATGTATGTATGTATGTATGTATGTATGTATGTATGTATGTATGTATGTATGTATGTATGTATGTATGTATGTATGTGTGTATGTATGTATGAATATCACAACAGGCTAAGACTGAAGTGGAGCGCAAAAGCGCGTTGACATTTCTTTGGAGCAAACTTGGTGGCAAAAAGCTGCTCGTCCATCAGGAATTCAAAATAAAGAATTTGGATAAGTAAGGGATCAAGGCCATCTTCTCTATCATCATCCTAATCATCATCATCATCATCATCATCATCATCATTGTTTCCATCATCATCATCATCATCATTATCATCATCATCGTTCTCTTTACCGCCATCTTAGCTTCCACATGGAGAGTAAGGAGACATTCTTCACGTCGGCAGAGCGCAACTACATCATCCACAGCATCATGGAGAGAACCATGTTCAAAAACAAGAACAAAGTCCAAACAGGTGACCTTGACATGCATAAATTATGTCATTGCATAAATTATGTTAACGAGCCTCGCAAAATTATCATCAGAATATATGGACAATCTTTGATATGAGTGAGTAGTGTAAAGTAGTTTCAATGTTTAAATGAATTTACGTCAACGAGCCGTTCAAATAACTTATAAGATTGAACTCAAATAATTAAATGATTAAGTTTGTGTTGTTGACCGCGGTCTTTTTTCCCTGCAATCTTTCCAGTAGTTGTTAGATTTTCCATTCTTTCCTTCCGCATGATGTGACCAAAAAACTTCAACTTCCCCCGTCGGTTATCTATAGTAATTTCCTCTTTTCATAACCTGACTGTTTTAATACATCCTCATTCGAGGTACGAGAAGTCTAACTAATTTTCATAATTCTTCTCAAAAACCGCTTCTCAGCAGCATTAATCTTTTTTCCATTTTTTTAGAAGTTGTCCAGGACTCAGAGCCGTAAGTTAGCACTGGAAAAATGTAACATACTAACAGTTTTAACTTTGTTGATATTCCGATTTTACTGTTGGTGAGGATGTTTTCCATTTTAGAATATGCATCTCTCGCTATAGCTATCTTTCGTTTGATATCGACATCACATTTACAACCTGAGGTAATCAGGCTTCTGAGATAAATGAAACTTTGAATTAATTAATTATGTTAATTATGTTAATTAATTCAGGCTTGGGCTGCTTGTTGGGCTACGATGCATATTTATCGGCCTACCCCCTACACGACCCTATAACATCTAAGCAACCTGCCGATGGGGTGAAATTGAACGAGAGGGAGGTGGTTAATTAATTAATTATGTTAATTAATTAATTACGTCAATTAGTTGTTTAGTTGATTAATATACTGATTAGTTGAATAATATGTACTTTTACTCATTTTCATGTGTTTATTCCTTCATATAATTTTCTAGTTACTGGCTTATTTCTTCGCTTCTATAGTTTTTTACTCATTCATTCACTCATTCATTCACTTATTCATTCACTCATTCATTCATTTTTCTTTCTTTCGTTTATTCGTTCATTCATTTCATTTTTACAATCATTGAAACTAATTATTATCGATTTAACAATCGGTTAAAATTCGGCAATCACAGAAACTGAACGAACATTGGGTCAAGATGAAGAACATCTTCTACCTCCAGCCATACAACGAAATTAGGTCAGGCTGACCTACATACACACGTTCCTGCAAACACACACACACACACACACACACACATACATACATACATACATACATACATACATACATACATACATACATACATACATACATACATACATACATACATACATACATACATACATACATACATACATACATACATACATACATACACACATACATGCATACACACATACATACATACATACATACATACAAACAAAAACACACGCACGCACATGCATACATAAATTATCATTATTACATTAAAAGTTCGTTTATTTATTCATTCACACGTCCATAATTCACGTAACAAAGTCATGGTTGACGAGTTAGCTCAGTCGGTAAAAGAGCTGTACTTCCAGTTGTTATTTCGCGATGACCTGGTTCGAATACTCTCTGCCAGAAACTTAAAAACTATCATACATTATGTGTGTATGTGTGTTGTATGATGCGGTACTTAAGCGTGCATACTAAATATGTATGCAGATGGATAATTATCTAAGTATCAACTGGAATTGATGCAGACATTAATACATTTGATACAATCTCATCTTGTTTATGCAAACACTAACATAATTTATGCAAACATTAACTAAATTTATGCAAACATCAACATCATTTATGCAAACATCGACATAATTTATGCAAACATCAACATAATTTATGCAAACATCAACATAATTTATGCAAACATCAACATAATTTATGCAAACATCGACATAATTTATGAAAACATCAACATAATTTATGCAAACATCAACATAATTTATGCAAATAGGTCATATTTTGGAGAGCAGTTTACGTTTTATTTTGCCTGGATGGGTTTGTACACGGCCAGTTTATTCGCAGCCGCACTGGCCGGTCTAGCCTGTTTCATATACGGGCTGGCTAGTTTTGCAACTATTGATGATAATGTGTAAGTGTGTATGTGTGTGTGTGTATGTGGTGTGTGTGTGTGATTTATTTGGTGTGTGTGATTTATTTGTTCATTTATTTGTTTATATTTATTTATTTATCGTTCATTTATCTAATTATGAATCAATCAATCAACTATACACGTATTATTGATTAATCGACTAACTGGTTAATTTATAGTTTTATATCATGTTGTTATTAATTGATTGATGATTGATTGAATGATTGATTGGTTGGTTGATTGATTGATTGATTGAAACTGACCAACAGAAAAGAAATATGCGACGAGACGAAAGCTCCAGGCAACTACACCATGTGTCCCAAGTGCGACTTCAGATGCAACTACACCAAGCTATCAGGAAGTTGCAATAATGCAAAATTTTCCAGAGTCTTTGATAACGAGGCCACGCTCGCCTGTGCCATCTTCATTTGCGTTTGGGGTCATTATTATTATTTTTATTGTTGTTGTTGTTGTACGCACACGCATACACACATACACGCATACACACATACACGCACACACAGACAAACACACACACACACACGCACACACACACGCACACACACACAGCGATATGTTTCATGGAGTTATGGAAACGTAGACAACTGGCCCTACAGCATGAATGGAACGTTACTAACTTTGAAGCCGACGAAGTATCTCTATGACGTCATCATCATCATAATCATCATTTTCATCATCATCATCATCATCATCATAATCACTATTATCATCATCATCATAATCACTATCATCATTTTCTTCTTCATCCTCATCATCCTCCTCCTCAAAAAATGCTACAGAACGTTCGACCAGAGTTTGTGAGCCAAACAAACACCGTGGTTAAAAATCCGTGGTCTGGGGTGGGTTGAAATCATTCGTTCGTTCGTTCGTTCGTTCATTCTTTCATTCTTCATTCACTCATTCATTCACTTATTCATTCACTCAACTCACTCACTCGTTCATTCAGGAAGAGGAACCCGTCGTATCAACAGCCTGGATGATAGGTCGAACTTTGACCTCCATATCAGTCCTCTTGTTCTTGGTCGGCAACTTCATAAACGTTTTTTCCTTGTTGTTGTTGTTGTTGTTGATGATGATAACGATGATGGTGATGATGATAGTGGTAGTGGTAATGATGATGGTAATGATGGTGGTGATGAAAGTGATGATAGTAATGATGATGGATTTGTTGTCGATTAAATCTTGTTAAATAATCATACAACTAATGAACGAACAAAAAAAAAACCAACCAACCAATCAACCAGCCAACTAACCATTCAACCAACCAATCAACCATCCAACCAACCAACCAACTAACCCAACCAACCCAACCAATCAACCAACCAACCAACCCACCAACCAATCAACCAACCAACCAACCAACCAACCCAACCAACCAACTAACCATCCAACAATCCAACCAATCAACCATTCAGTTATCCATGGTGGTGATTGCGATATTTGCAGTCCTCGTTTACAGACTGGCCCTTGTTTACGCACTCTACCAGAGCGAAAATCTGACGATTAAGGCCCATGCAAAGATTATAACAACCATCACGGCCGCCATCTTGAACGTTATCGCCATTTCCGTTCTCGGATTTGTGAGTTTGTTTTTGTTCTTTGCTGTCGGTGATGATAATGATGACGATGTCGGTGGTGATGATGACAGTGTTGTTGATGATGACGATGCATTATTTGTTGTTGGTAATGATGTTGATGATGAGGACGAAGATGACGATGATGAAGATGTTTTTGGCAATTAGTTTTCAGAGATAACAACAACAGCAGCAACAACAACAGCAGCAGCAACAACAACAGCAACAACAACAACAGCAGCAACAACAACAACAACAGCAACAACAACAACAGACACACATACCATACACTACAACACCACAATCTACATTGCACATGATTGGGAGGGATCTCATCTATACTAACAATCCTTAGTGGCGATGCTAACAACGTTCTATTTAGTTATCAATACTAAATAAATAATATTTTCATTTTGACAGATCTATCAGAAATTGGCAAAGATTCTTACGAATTTGGGTTAGATAGAATTCTGTTTAAAAATATCAAGTTTTTAATTACCGTAGTACAAACTATTCAACTATTTTGTCATTTATTCGTTTGTTCTTTTTTTCTTTTTTGCATTCATTCGTTCGTTCAAAACTTATACTACCAAACGCTAACTCCATCATTATTCCAACATTTTCAAATCAATCTTCAGCCAAACTTATCAGCCGATATATTTCATCAATAAAAAAAAAAAAAACACATCCCTAATCTTGGACCCCCACTTCGGATAAACTAATTTTCCTAATTCCTAATTATCCTCAGAGGCCCATAAAACGCGAACTTCATATGAAGATAGTTTCATATTTAAAATTGTCGTTTTCCAGTGCATCAACAACTATGGCTCCATCATATACATCGCCTTTTTCAAAGGAAGGTTGGGATTATAATGGTGATGGTGATGATGATAATGATGATGGTGGTGATGATGATGGTGATGGTAATGATGATGGTGATGGTGATGATGATGGTGGTGATGATGATGATGGTAATGATGATGGTGGTGGTGATCATCGTAATCATGATGTTGATGGTAGTGAAGGTGATGATGGTAATGATGACGATAATGGTGGTGACGATTAAGGTGGTAATGATGACGATAATGGTGGTGATAATGATGATGATGATAATGGTGGTGATAATGATGATGATGATGATGACGACGACGACGATAATGATGACAACGATAAATCAGTTGTCGTTTTAAATACTTTTGATGACGATGATGATGATGGTTATGGTAATGATGACGGTGATAGTATTATTGTTAATTATGACATAATAATAATAATATGAATAATAAATTATGATTATAATTTATTCAAAGCTTTGTAGACAGACCTGGTTTTGATAAACTCTACATGTTCAGCAAATACCGGCAGGACGAGGTAAATAAAAATAACAACAACAATAATAATTATTATTATTATTGTCATTATTGTTGTTATTATTATTATTATTTTTAGAACGCCTTTTATTTCTTCATAAAATCATAATTGGACCTAGAATAAAAAGGTCCATAAAGCGTATGAAAAATATGAAAATTGAGATAGAATAAAATAGGGTATTCTACGTAGCTTGCCGTTCTGGGGAATGGAGGAGTAAAATTATAGCAAAAATTAGAACTATAATTATTATATTAATTATAGTTATAATGATAATAATAATAATAACAATGGGAACATTCTTTTATTAATCGAAAAAATAAAATCCAAATTAAATCAATTGAAAATTATTATCAGAGTGTAAATAAATAAGATGTAAAATATAATGATGTAAATAATAATAATAATAATAAAAATAAGAATGATAATAATAATAATAATGATAGTGTGAAGATACTGGATGTTTTTCCGAGCTGACCATCCAGCTGATCGTCGTAATGATAGGAAAGCAATTCCTAAATGCCCTGATTGAGATGCTGGCCCCGTTAGTTGTAGCAATAATAATAATAATAATTATTATTATAATAATAATTATTATTATTATTATAATAGTAGTAGTAGTAGTCTTAGTAGTAGTAGTAGTAGTAGTAGTAGTAGTAGTAGTAGTAGTAGTAGTAGTAGTAGTAGTAGTAGAAGTAGCAGTAATAGTAGTAGTAGTAGTAGTAGTAGTAGTAGTAGTAGTAGAAGTAGCAGTAATAGTAGTAGTAGTAGTAGTAGTAGTAGTAGTAGTAGTAGTAGTAGTAGTAGTAGTAGTAGTAGTAGAAGTAGCAGTAATAGTAGTAGTAGTAGTAGTAGTAGTAGTAGTAGTAGTAGTAGTAGTTGTTGTTGTTGTTGTTGTTGTTGTAGCAGTAGTAGTAGTAGTAATATTAGTAGTAGTAATCTTAGAAATAGTAGTAGTAGTAGTAGTAGTAGTAGTAGTAGTAGTAATGATTACAAAAATAACAATAATAATAAATGATAAAAATAATATCACTATTTGTCATTCAAATTCTTTGTAATTCACATTTTAGAATATTCAAGAAGTGTTTGAGATCTCGGGATAACAAGGTAATTGAAAATAATAAAAATTAATAATTAATCAATTAATTTATTTATTACTTTATTTATTTTTTAATTTATTAATTTATTCATTCATCCATCCAGGATCTTTCTTCCTACATGCAGTGGGAACGGGATCTCGATCTGGAATGTCATCCGCCTATCTCCATGTTTGGCGAGTACCTAGAGATGGGTTGGTGCTGTCTGGTAACGATCATCATCACCACGTCATCATCATCATCATTATTTTTGTTATCTCCATATCATCAATCTTCGCTTCACTCACTCACTCTCTCACACACACACTCACATCACTCACTCAACCAACCAACCAATCAATCAACCAACCAACCGACCAACCAACCAACCAATCGATCGATCGATCAATCAATCAATCGATCAATCAAACAACCAACCAATCCAACCAACCACACCCACAGTAATTCAATACGGTTTCGTGACGTTGTTCGTGGTGGCTTTCCCACTGGCGCCATTATTCGCATTCCTCAACAACATCATCGAGATCAGACTGGACGCTTACAAGATGGTCAAACTCTTCAGGAGGTGCGCTGCTCTGAAAGCTCAAGACATCGGTGCCTGGGAGATCTCCTTGCAGATGATCAGTTATATGGCCGTTATTTCTAATGTTAGTGTTTCGCAGGCGTATGCGTGTGTGTTTGTAAAAGAAGAAGAGAAAAAAAAGAGATAAAAAAAGAGAAAAAATGTGTGAGAGGGAGAATGAGAGGGAGAGAGAGGGAGAGAGATAGAGAGAGTGAAAAAGGCGTATTTGTGAAGAAGGATGTGTGTGTGCTGTTGTTGACGGTGACGCTGTGTTTTAAAAGGTTGGTCTTTTTTGGCGGTATTTTTCTTTAATCTTTCCTGAACATGATCAACAACAACGTCATCAGCAAGCAGCAGCACTGTCTTCCTTTCCACAATTCTCACTATCTCACCATTAAACAATCCTCCTCTCGCCATTTTCACGATCTCCCCCATTAGGCATTCATCATAGCCTGGACATCGGACTTCATTCCGAAAGCAGTCTACAAGTGGAACGCAGACACGCGCAGTTTATCAGGCTACATGAACTGGACCCTGGCGCCCTTCAACGTCTCAGAGTTCAAGGCTAACCAACGGCCAGACGTCTCCATTTATCCAGAGGCTGCAAATGTCACCCAATGCATGTACGAATTAATTATGTTTGTTTATTAACTGCGTTCATTCACTCTGTTAATCGGTTAGTTACGTATGCAGGGTTGATAACATAACAATACTCGAATAATAATACACGCACACATACACACACACACGCACACAGACACACACGCACACACACACTTGAACACAAACAAATAGGTATAGAACATTTTCGGCCCCAGCAGACGAAATAGGAAGTTCGTACATCTCTTTCTATTGGCAGATACAATGCGCCAGATGGAGCTTTGTCATCGTCTTCGAGGTTTCTATTTCCATTTTTCATTTTTAGTTCGTTTTTTATATTTGTTTTTCTAAATTGTGTGTGTTTTTTTAATTTACACACACACACACACATTCACACACTCGCATCTAATCCAAGAACGCTTTCCACTTAAAAATCCGTCAATCCGAACAAAAACAACTCTACATACAAACAACGCAGCACTGCGCACTTCTGCTGATGAGTCTCGCCCGCATGATCCCGGATACCAGTAAGGAAGTGAAACTGAAACTGGAATACGAGAAAGCCATGGATAACTACGGCGAAGTTGACGATCTCTTCATACACGTGAAGGAGCGCAAGAAATTCCTGAACGTCATGATGCTACAAGGAGCTGCCGGAAACAATGTCGGATTCAGTGACTCCGTGCAAGAATGACAAACAAACAAATGAATGACAAATATATGTATATTTAAAGTGTTACATTTCTAAAGTTGGGGGTTAATGTTATTTAAAGTAGTTGTAACCAAATTTCTAGTTAAAGAAGTAGTAATAAAACTAGTTGTATTAGAATCAGATTAGTAGTAGTAGTAGTTATTATTGTAGTAGTAGAAGAAGTAGTAGTAATAGTTGTAGTAGTAGAAGTAGTAGTAGTACTACTACTACTAGTAGTACTAGCAGCAGCAGTTAGTATAGTAGCGGTTGTCGAAGTAGTAAAAGTATCAGCAGTAATTTAATAATAGTACAATCACAATTCGTCACTTTTAAACTTTCTGAAATAATTACAAATTCAATAATTTTCTGTTTTTATTTTAGTGAACGAAACAATAAAAAAAATAATCAAGCGTTGACGTTTTGCTACTGTATGACATGAAGAAGAATAAATCAAGATAAAATACGACACTGTATTTAACAATAATTTCCAAATTCGGTTTCTTGTAGTAAAATAAGTCGTTTGAAATGAAAATCAGACTTTTTATTGATTTTGCCTCTAAGCATTTTGGTATTTATTCAGGTAGAAGACAGGTATTTTAAGTTTTATACAATATGCATAAGAAATTTTTACAGAAACTGTAACAAATTTTGTAATAAATTAAATTTTAAATTTCTTTGGCCCACGTGATCCAATCAACTTCCTTTTTTTCTTCGTGTATGTTTTGACTGAAGGTGCGTGGAATTTATCCTTGCTAATTTTTATAAAATACTTCATTATAATTAATATTTTTACTAGTTTTAAATTTGCGAAAACATTAATGTGTAATTAGTGATCAATATTCATTTTTTTCTTAATTTTTTTCACTAAACTTTTTATTATCGCCCATGCTACGAATAAATTTGAGGTTTTTCAAATTTCAGATGCCTGGGATTAGTGTTAAAGACGTTAATCAACACGATTTCGTAAAGGCGTTAGCCGCTTTTATAAAAAAGTTAGTGAATTTATTTTCTGCACATAGTTTCGGACTGTCAGTCCATCCATACTCCATAGGTACAAGTCAGCAATGTGATTTAGCCATTTGATCACCTTGCGTTATATCTGTGGGAGATTATTGTCGATTGGGTTTTTGGTGGTCTGAATCACTCGTTTTGAATGATTTTTTGCCGTCTGCCAAACGATGGTGACTAACGAGAGTTGATGAGAATTGTAAATGATTCCCATCCTAGTTGTTTAGTCTGACATTTAATAAAAAACTTGTCTGATTTTTCAACATTTTCTTCATTTTTTAAAAGTATAATTTATTAGTCAAAAATTTCTATTTTATACATAAACATTGGTCAAAATTTATACTAGGTTAAAATTTATATTCTCTTGAAACAGAAATGGCAAATTAAAGGTTCCAGACTGGACAGATGTTGTCAAGTTGGGTGTGCACAAGGAACTGGCTCCATATGATGAAGATTGGTTCTACACCAGAACTGGTGAGTCTTTTAAAATATTTTCATCCACGTTTGATTTGCATAACTATAGCTAATCATAAATTTGGTTTCATTGTAAGATGAGTATAATATAAATAACTCTTTATCCAGCCTCGATCGCTCGCCACATGTACATCAGATCACCTGTTGGAGTTGGAGGACTAACAAAAATTTATGGAGGTCGCAAAAACAATGGCACTCGTCCCTCGCATTTTGTCAGGGGGTCCAGTTCTGTTGCCAGGAAAGCTGTGCAAGCTTTGGAAGGTCTCAAATGGGTTGAAAAGGATGCCAATGGGTATGTTTTTGTCATTCTAATATCTAAATGTTCTAATTTTTAATTTGGCTTTTTTAAAGATGACTTTTTGCAGTTCTAAAAACGTGAATAATAGTTAATTTTCATCATTTTCAGTGGCCGCAGGCTAACAGCAGCAGGAAGGAGAGATTTGGACCGCATAGCTGTCAAGTTGGCTGCTGAAAGTTCCTCTGCATCTAAAATTCAATAATTAGACATGACGCTAATTTTGTTGAATCTTCAATAAAATAAATTAACAGTTCTTTTGATTTGTTTCATTTATCTCGTTTCAATCACTTAAACTAAGCAAATAAAACAGTTGGGTTGTATGCATGTAACAAATTTTTTTAATGTGCGAGTAATTGCAAAGTTACAAGTTTTTAAAGACAAAATAAGTTGGATTAGATCACTATTATCGTTATGACTTTGAAAATAAATTCTTGAGGAACAGACGTGCACGCGGTGTCATCATGGAGCAGAGCGCTTGCTGGTTACGCAAACATTTAAATACAATTGAAAACCAAAACATTTCAAACGACGGTCTAACGAAAAGAGTTATGCATCCATTAACTAATTGATTGAATGGTTTAAACGATTGAATATCTAAAATGGGCGGATTGAATATTTAGTTAGACCCTGGATTCTTGTAAGGAATGTAACTGGGACAGTTGTACATCTGAACAGATGACCACAAAATCATCTTTGTTTCGTTCTTTCGATTTCAGCTCTCGTTTATAATTGCCGTCATCATCCTTGTTTGATGCAAAACAAAATGTCTTCTTCAGGTTTTTAGTTCTTGGTTTGCTTTTATTGGCAGCGTCAGTGGGATTAGTTAGGTTATATTTGTCAGTTTCGCTATCATCACCATCGTTGGGGCTGCCTATCTTCTGCTGCTTCTCGAATCTAGACTTGCCAAAAACATTACTCTTCACACTCCTACAGCTTCTAAATTTGCAGTAGGAAAAAGTTCTGGGAAAGCAGTGTTTGAATTTGTTGAGTGATATGGATGAGGATGAAATGGATGAAATTCTGTTTTTGGCAAGATCTCCATTCTGGTTGCTCGGTTTTTTTTCTAATGTTTTCTTAACCGAAGCAGCACTAGTGTCCCCCATCTGCTTTGCTTCTGTGACCACGGCGTTGGGGATGTTTTTCTTTCGGTAGAATAGAATGTAGGCGTTTGTCGTGACGACCTCGTTCTCCGTCATCTTCGTCACGCGCAGATCGTTGTAGTGGTACCACTCTTTTGTTAGTGGGTTCAGGCAGAAGGCTGAAAAAAAGGGATTAAATATTAAAGGTAAGATTATAAAGTTTTGACGTAGCTAGTGTGTGTGTGTGTGAGAGAGAGAGAAAGAAAGAGAGAGAGAGAGAAGTAAATATACGAAATGCGTGTATGAAAGAGAAAAATGATACCTGTATAATGGCCATCAGTTAATGATCCGTAATGATTGCAAACAGCAAACAAATCATACGTGTGATCGTCAGCACTATCGTCACCTTCATTGTCATCTGCTTTTGTATTATGACCATCATCATTATTTACAATACTGCTGTCGTGATTAGTGTTGGCGTTTATAGAGTTCGAATTTTTGGGGGTGTCAAGCACATCCCTGATTTGCGATGTATGCCGTTTAGGTGTGCCATTTTTAGAATCGACCAACTTAGCCGGGGAGTTATTGATTTGTATGCACTTCATAATGATTGGAGGGCATACTTCATGAATATTAATAACCTCATTAATATTCAGGCTTCCCTGTTTGGCTAAATTCTTTACATTTACCGAATTATTTGAAGAGCTTAAGCTGTCAATGCTAGAAATTTTTGCGACAGCTGAGGCGTTAGCATTGGCTGCATTACTCTTCTTAATATTATTTATATCATTATTATTTATATTATGATTATTATTATTATTATTGTTATTATTCTTTTTATTGTTGTGGTTATTGTTGGGACTGATATAATCAGACAGATTGAGGTTTTTAATGGGGAATCTAACGAACGTGTTAAGCTTGGTCCTCCTTGAAGAATCCTATAAATAACAATAGAAATAATAATAGAAATAATGATGATGATGATAATAATAGCATAATAGCAGCAACAGACAGACAAATAACAATAAAAAAAATAATAGAAATAATGATGATGATGATGATAATAATAGCAACAACAGACAGACAAGCAGAGCAAATGCACCAGACGTAAGCATTGACAAATCAAGTAACTTTTCACATTTCGTAGATAATACGTAATAAAAAACACAACATAACATTAATAGGTAGGACTATAACAATTTTATAGATCAAGAAAGAATAGAAGAATACCATCTCACTGGTGAACCAAACAAAATTTTATACACATACACACACACACGACACACACACACACACACACACACACACACACACACACACACATACATGTTTAAATCTCTTGAGATGCACCACAAGTATATTAGGATATGATGATATCAGTATATTTTTCGTCGTCTCCCTCTGCCTCTTGCCACAGTGGACGCAGAACCAAGCGTTGTCTTCACTCAACTAATAATAAGAATAACAATAAAGTGAATAATAATAATAATTATAATTATAATAATAATAATAATAATGAATGGCGAAACGGGGCGTAATGCTTAAAGTGCCAGCTATTGTTGGCATTGACCAGGCTTGAATGCAGTGTGTGTGTGTGTGTGTGTATGCGTGTGTGTGTGTGTATGCGTGTATGTGTGTGTATGCGCATGCGTGTATGTGTGTGTATGCGTGTGTATGTGTTTGATGTCTGAAATAGAGATATATTGAAATGAGAAAAAACCTGTTCTTTTTGAGTGAAGGCATTGAAACAATCATCCAGTGTACAACAACTACTACTACCATTGTTGTTGTTGTTGTTGTTGTTATTGTTATTATTATTGTTGTTGTTATTGTTACTATTAAAGCATGCACTTTCGTGGTCTATGACAGGTTCATTGATGGACGGAGAGAAACTAATGATGATGATGATGATGATGACGATGATGATGACGATGATGATGACGATGAAAAAGTTGTTAACGGTGATGATGATGATGTCAATGATGATGACAATGTTGTTAACGGCGATGATGATAATGATGATGATAATAATGATGATGACATTAAAGATAATGATGGTGATGATAATGATAATGACGACAATAATAGGGTAAATTGTTGTAATCATGATTATCATTTCAACAATAGTCACCAATCACTATCATCATCATCACCAACATCATCATCTGTAACACCACCATCATCATCGTCGTCGTTACTAACTTATCGATAAACATCTTGTACCATTCGGCAATGACCATGATGTGTTGGGGTCCAGAGTTACATAATGATAAGGCTCTATGAAAATAACAACAACAATAACAACGACAACAATAATAATGATGAAATAATCAATAACAAGACTTGCCTTCTTACATAATTACCACAGATCGCACATACACGTGCGCATACACTCATACGCACACAAACTAATTCCTAACTTATTGACAGCATCAGAACACAGTGGAAAGCTGTCATTGGACATGTAGTATGGGGAGTCCAGTAGGGATGTGACTAGACGGAAATCCAGGAAAGATTTTGACTGCAGTTTGGAGTTTATGAAAGAAACAATTATTTCTTTTATGTGATTCTTTGACACAGATCAATTTAATTTACTTTATATATATATATTCAATAATCTCATCTAAATATCAAACAATCAAATTCCCATTTTAAATAATTTAATCAATGTTTCATTCATTCATTCATTCGTTCGTTCATTTATTCGTTCATTCGTTCATTCATTCGCTCATTCATTCATTCCTTCGTTCGTTTATTCATTCATTGAAGCATCTTCAAATACTATTTATCCATCAACTTGATCCTTCATTTGTTTGGTTAGTCGGTCATTCTTTTGTTCTTGCATTTGTCCATTCACTGTTGCATTCATCCACTCATATATTTATTCATTCATTCATCTATTCATTCATTCATCTATTCATTCATTCATTCATTCATTCAACAATTCACTCATCATTTAATCATCCAATCACAAATGTCCCACAACGGCAGCTATGCAGCAGCTATAAGCAGCTAACAAAGCTATAGCAATTGAGTCCCGTCTGTATGTAAGGTTTCATCTCGAATAGGAGATCCTGGTGAATATCAAAAGACGATGACGATCTATGCAAGTTCAAAACCACGGGGAACCCGAATCTGAATACGACAGGAGATGATATATCAATATGGAGAAATGAAGATATATATCTTTATGTGGATATATGGATATTAGTTAATTTAAATAAGTAAATTAGTCAATTTCAATTTGTTAATTTGAATATGCAAATTACCTTTCTGTCTGTAGGCCATTGAGAAATTTATTAATGACAACCATCAAGACATGATTCTCAACACAGGCCTCATTCTTAATAATTTCTATAGCATGAATATTCATGCCATCAGCAGAGAGGCCTTTGATTGGCTGATGATCCAGTAATGTATGTGCTGAACTATCCAATGATATAGAAGCTAAGATTATCTGTACGTTTGTGTAGAGGTACTATTATTGTAATAATTATTTATTAATATATAATTGTCAAGTTATATCAGGATATCATCACTAAGATGTATTGCATAGCATTGCATAGGACTATTTAATAACATTAACCACTAATACTAATATGATAAACTCAAAATCTATGGTAGTGACCTGTTTGACATTTATGTTAGTTAAGTTGGCAACCTGTGACCTCAAGTGGCCGACTGTACTTGTGAAATCCATCCATACGCCTAATCTTACCTTTAGGAAATATATATTAATTAATTAATTTATTTATTTATTTAATTAATTCTCAAAATTATTGAGTTATGAAACTTATAAAAAAAACCTTATGAGTATACAAAGAAATTTATTTTTAAAACTTTTATTCAAAAATAATATAAATTTATTTACATTCTTTGGAGTGGCTGACTGATAAACAACAATGACATGGACTTTGACTGATGTTATATAAGGCATTGAAATAGGCAGAGAAATAGTTAAAAATGGATCTAGGGTAGAACTGAGATGGCCACATTTTAAACAATTTAAAGTTGACGTGTAATATGCTCGAAATAAATAGTCGATGACGTTGTTTGTTTGCGTGGGTTTTGTTAACTTAAGGCTGTTGCTGGTTTGTTCGATTCTTAGGGAGTTGTCACCATCAACTTGACTCTTAAAAAATTCAAATTTATAATTATAAAATAACTCTTTATGACTAGTTTTTGAATATATATCTAATTATAATGGAGAAAAAATAATAAAAAATGAATAAACATCTCAATTTACTTTTAGTAGTTTATTTTTGGCAGGCTTTTCATTAGAATTTAAAAAATCTTTTTCTTTGGAAAGTTCATCTTTAACATAACCTAGCAACCAGAGTAGGAACTCATGGGCATCTTGCTGTGTAGAACCTCTAAACTGCTTTTCAATGCGGCCAATTGAAGACTTAAATTTTTTTGACAATTCCAAATTACATCTGCCTAACCAGAGGCTTTGAATTAGGCACGAAAGTTGTTCTGTAATTGAATCTGCATTGGATAGGGTAGATTTTTTAAATTTTTTCTTCAAAGCAATGCAACCATTTTTTTTATTTGTCGTTGGTACGTTATTAATGACATCACTGGAGTGTTGCTGTTGTAGTTTACCTTTGCTACAACTACTATCCTGGCTGTGATTATTTACATTTATGGATGAACAAAAAATACCGTTTTGTTCTAGTTTCGAAGTTAAGGCCGAACATACCAAAAGATCACAATTATTCAGACATTGGACGATTGAATTGATATAGCAGGAATTTCCCAAATCATTCGGCAGGCCAGCTAACTTCGTCTGCTCCAGACGGCCATCACGATGACGGTGATAAGAAGTGTTGGATGACTTTTTTATAATTTGCGGTAGCAGGGAGTGAAGTTCCGATAAATTAAAATCATTATTTCCATTTTCGTTTTTCATTTTAATACAAAATAAAACTAATTGGTAGTTATTTAATTAATAACTCTCGTCATAACAACTCTATCACTAAACAAATAATTTTAAAAATGAACCAGGCGAAAAGTTATAATTAAGTGCTTTTGTGAAGTTAGTTACGATACCACGTAACGTAAAATTTAATCATTTTTACAAGTTAGTCTTTTAAATCAATTTCCACTGAAATTTAAACAAAGTAATCAAGTTTTATTACTTTCTTTAGTATTACACAACGCAAAAAATGATTCCACATCATCATTTTCGAAAATATTTAAATGTTTAATCATCTTCATTTCATACCACATATGCGCGTTCTTGCGTTCCATTAAGAAAATCAATTTTATTTTTACACATTTCTGAATCTAATTAATTTTTTGTAAGCGATTAATCAAATTTTGATGTATATCTTATTAAAGTTTTTTGTTTTTTCTCTATTATTCCTCTTAATTAACGTAATTTCAGTTATTTAATTTTCCAATTTTAATTGAAATTCATTTTAATTTCATGTTGTCTTCGACTTTAAAACATAAATTTTATTAAACATAAAAAAATTCAATTATAAATTTGTTAGCAATTACCAAATGGAGAGAATTTGATAAATAATTCAATCAATCAATCAATCAATCAATCAATCAATCAATCAATCAATCAATCAATCAATCAATCAATCAATCAATCAATCAATCAATCAATCAATCAATCAATCAATCAATCAATCAATCAATCAATCAATCAATCACTCCCCAATCAATCAATCAATCAACCAACCAATCAATCAAATCTTTAATTTACCAAAAATTCAAATGAAAACCTTTCTATTAACCACAATTTATTAAATGAAATAACATTAAAAATAAAAAGATATTACAAAAATTTACATCTGTAAATAAAAATTAGAGAATTATTAACATAAAATACACGTGTGTTTGTGTGTGTGCGTCTATGTAATGATATTCCTCTTCTATATCTTTTTCTAAAACACTCTTAGATGTACGTGGTTTAATAGCAACGTGAGAGTTGTTATTAACAACGTAGTTTAAGAAAGTGTCACAGGTCATCATCATGATATTTTTGAATTTTTTTTTTCAAATTTTCAACTCTTATAGGTACATTTTTATTCTAATGTATTTTAACATAAAATAAATAAAAAAGTTAAAAAAGAATATAAATTATTTAATTATTCAATGAATTATTCTTCTCATCTTTATTTATTTGTTGGACCCTGGTGAAATGACCTTCCAGAACTTTATTTTTCTCAAGAGCTTTTTGCTTTTCAAGATCCCTCAAGTATCTTGTTAAGTAGCCCGGACCTAAGTAACTGAAATTGAAAATATAAAACTATAATTTTGAATTTTCAGACAGTTATTTTTAAATGGTCATACTCATAAGAATAAGTTACTTTAACAGAACATAATAATAATCAATGAATCAATAGTTGGTGTTTTGTCTTGCTCTGTGTTGTAATGATCTGGTTTAAATGTAATTGTAAAAAAATCCTTAGCTTGTAGAAGGAAAAAGAACAAGTAAAATATAATATAGAATACAAAAATAAATAATTAAAATAAATTACAGTTTAATTCCAATTAGGACAAGAGATGTTGCGATGAAATATCCGGCGACTCTTGTTCGAAATTTTTTAGCTGGGGTGCCGGATAAAAATCCTTCCCTCTTAATTCTTCCAATATCTCGTCCGTGACAACTTTCCATGTCAGTTTAAACTCAAAATTTCCTAATTAACCAAACTCAAACTAGATTCTCTTTCAGCTTTATTCACATTTAAAAGTTAATGGTTAACTTAATCATTTGAAAGAATGTACCAATTAATATTAATGTTGGTTTGTAATGCTAGGATGACAGTTTCAGATGTTCTATAGTGAAAATATTCAATTTTTATTATGTGCATTTATAAAAAATAATTTTAAAATATTTAATTTAGTAAAAGTGCTACAATAATAGCAAAAATGTCCGGAATGTGCGTAGGTGAACAATACAAGAGAATGGACCCGTGTAATGAATGAATACACTCTGTCGTTCATTAGAATTAATCAAATGATTATTTCGAAAAGTGGATTTTGATTGAAATAAATAATTAGTTCGTCGTTTCAATTTATTTCATTTTGCGGGATAATTTTTATCAATTTGTCCAAGCTTTTCATGAGATCTGACTTTCAGTAAGTAATTTAATAACTAAAATTTGAATAAAAAGTTATTGATTTAGTTTTATTTTTTTTATTCTTAAAATCCAACAACAACACACGTTTAGACGGCATTTTCCCCGAGATCGGGGGTTGCCGTTTGGCTACCTATGATGAAACCGAAATACCCCTCGACTTCATCCACATCTGTCACTCGCCTCAGTATCACGCAACCCCGCTTTCACCCTGTCCTTCTCCACCTGCTCTCTCCATCCCAATCGCGGACGACCCCTTCCTACCACTCCTTCAACCTCGAACTCCAACGCTCGCCTAATCCCGACCCTTTCATCCCTTCTCAACACATGTCCATACCACCGCAATCTCGATCTCCTTATCAATGTCACAATGTCCTCATTCAGTCCCATCATTGACATCAGCTCTGTACTACTCCTCCTATCCTTCACTTTAACCCCACACATCATCCTCACCATAGCTCTTTCAGCCCTCTGCAGTACACTTTCCTCCTCTCTCCTCAACACCCAAGTTTCACCACCATATATCATCGCTGCTCTCACACATGCTTTATATACCCTCCCTTTCATCTTCACTGACCATTTCTTTCCACACAATACCCCACCCAGTTCCCTAAATTTCATCCATCTTACACGAACTCTAGCCGTAACTGCGCTCAAACATCCTCCATCCGCATTCAGCTTATCCCCTAAGTAAACAAAGCTTTCCACTCTTTCAATACCATCACTCAACCCCGTCCTTGCATCCGTCCTATTAATCACACCATGAACACATTTCTTACATTTCCACCTTTTTCAGTGCCCCCCTCACACCACTACATCTCTTATGCACCCATTTCTGACATCCTATACACAATACCGAGTTATCCTTCACTCTCCTATCACATACCCCACAGGGGTCTATTTTACTTATCACTCGTTCCCCACCTTCCCCACTCACCATTACCTTCGTCTTACCAATATTAACTTTTAACCCTTTCTTTTCAATAACACTTTTCCATCTGTCAAATTTTATTCTTAAAATCCATTTTATAATAATTTTTATTAGTTTATTGTTCATTACTATTTAATATTTATTATTGTCTATTATATACTCTATTCTATTCTCTATTGAATCATTATTATCATTGATTAATTTAATCTTAATGATTATTCTTAAATTAAAATTTGTTTAAAATTTAAAGGGTTTGCCTCAGTTCGGTCTCAGTGAATCAAGTTTTATTCAGTTTGTTAATACTTAAATTAAATTTCAATTCAATCTGATTGAAGAAAAACTTAAAATATTTTAGGAATCAAAGATGGATTCGTACCCCCACACATCCTTACTAACTTGCACGCTATGTTCCTGCCATTTTAAAGATCCAAGATTTCTTCCATGTCACCACACATTCTGTTTTGTTTGTCTGAAAACTCTGTGTGACAGCGCTGTGGCCACAGCCAGTGATGCTACAAAAGCAAAAATATTTTGTCCACTTTGTAAAGTTCAAGCCACTGTCCCCAACAACGGTGCTGACGGTTTTCAAATTGACCAGAAAACCCAGGCCTTGAAGGATAAGATAGTTCAAGAAATTGTTGATAACATAACAAGAAGCATGTCAAATTCTCGAGAAAGTACAACCTCTCCAAGATTTTCAACGAGTGCCACAAACAACAACAGCACTTCTTTCAATAGCAGAGATAGGGAGAGGCCATCCAGATTTTCAGGTCAGTCAGATTTTAGCAGTGGGGCTAGCAAAACGTCATATGAGGGTACCGCTTCTGGAAACAACAGTGGTTCAGAGAATGACAGTTACTCATCCATCTATAATGGTTATGGTAAATATGCAAAGTACTTTGAATCGGCTGATAAAGAAGCCAGCAATGGTGCTAATTTCAAACCCACAATTAGACCAGACCACACTCGATTGGGTTATGAAAGTAGCATTCGATTCAGAAACAAACAGATGAACAGTAAGGATCATGATGAAGAGAGAGACCTGAGGAGAAGGACCTGGTATGGATCAACACTTCATAGCAGGAGAACTCAATCATTAAACAGATCAACTTATGGAAATATAGAAGAATCAAACGTCAGATCATCAGAAAATCTTTTCAAAATTAATGAAGATCGAGAACATGCACCAACTTCAGAAGACTCTTCAATGTCACATGATCAAGCAACACCTCAAAGATTCAAAGATTCATCATTCAACACTCCAAGAATGACCTCCCATGGTTTGAACACTAGCACACCCATAAACAGTGATACTTTAAAATCTGACAGCTACCATTCGGCCATTTTCGAGACTCCTAACTCCTCTGACAGATCAGGGGATAAACTTTTTTTTTCTAGTTTAGGGAGTGATAATAGGAGATCTAATTTGGCCGCCGGTCCAACTCGTCCAACATTACCTACGCACAGAGAAAACATTACTACCGATGGTATTATTTTACTTTTGTTTAGGAATGTTTTGGATAAAATAATTATTTTGTTTAATTTGGAAAAACATTTTTCTGACTGGTTTATTAAAAAAGGTATTTATTATCATCTGGAATTAAATTTGTAAAAATTGTGAAATTAGTGAAAATTTTACAGGTTGCAAATTTTTAAAAATAGTGAAATTGATTGAATATTTACAGAAATGAATCCGTAAAAATTATACATTTTATGAAATTTTCACAGGACCATTCATTAGGCAAAATTCAAAAGACAGAAAGTCTTCAAAATCAAGCAACAAGTCTCCAGAGCATAAAATATCCTTTCGAACCAGAAAACAATCTCCCAAAGGAAGCAACAGTAGCGGCAGCGGCAGCTTCAGAGAGAAAAAAACAAAATCGCCATTACCTAGCCCCAGAAGGAGAAGAAAATCAAGTGATAAATCACCAAGCTATGAAGCAACTAACCTACCAGAATCTGAAGCAGCTGATGCCAGGAAAATTCGTGAAAATGAAAATAGATTCTATAGGGTGGTTATTTAATTAAATTTTTTTTATTTTACCAATTATTTATTTATTTATTTGCTAGTAGCATTTGAATTATTCATCAAATTTGTCAGTTTATAATTTATTGCTTGATGTTAGTGTATGATTCAATTTAAAAATGCAATTTAAACTAAACTTTTATTATTTCTACTTATATTTATATGATTCAAAATGAATTCAAATTAAACAAAAAGATATTTTTTAATTTTTTCCAAATTCAGGAGACCCCCACAAGACCCAGGCATCAACAAAATGAACCAACTTCACCGACGTTTCATCAGGAAAATATCAGTCAAAAAATGAGAGAACGAATCAATCCTGAGAGAAGGGCTAGAACGGCCAGAGATAGGTTAAGTTTCAATTTCGATTTGGGATCTAAAGATGAAAATCTCAAACCGCCACATCAGCCACAGCAGCCAGACTACCAGCAACATCAGCCGCCAGAACATCCTCAGCGTAATTTCTCAGAGAACTATGACCATTTTCATCATAGACAGCAAGCAGGACAACATTTTCATCCAGAACGGGAGTATCAACCTGCTCAGCCATCTGAAAGAATAAGCAGAGCAAGTCGTCTCGAACAACAATCACAGCATCAATCGTACAAAGGTGACCATCGCCCCTCACGTCGCAAACCTCGATGTAACAGCGTTGGAGCCCAATTCAGCCTAAACAAAAACGACTTCAAAACTGACCAGGATTTTAAGGAGCACTTGTTAGGAATGACGATGACCAAAGATCAATACGATAGAATCATGGATGACGTGCGAAACGAACGCGATCGTCTCGACTCAACTGGCAGTCATCATAATGATGATTTGAATGAAGAGGATGATGACGTTGGCAGAGATGGCAATGTTAGGGGTGAAGATGGTAAAAGTGGATTTCACTCTAACGACGATGCTGATCTTGGTGATGACAAAGAAAATGAAAAAACAACTTTAAAAATTGATGAAAACGAAGCAGAACAAAAACCAGACCCACCTAAAAAACACGAACCATTACTCGATGACAATCTCCTATCGTCATTCAGGACGAAATATTTGTCTGCTCTCGAAGTCAAACGTTTTCCTAATCAGTCGACTTCTCCGGAGTTATCTGAGGAAATGACAAAGTGCTGGTCCTGTCAGAAGAATGACTTCGGTGTTCCAACTGCTGCTGCTTTCCTCAAAACCAATTCTCTCGTTGTTGCTGATTTCGGCCTGAGTTGCTTGGAGTTTTTTGATTCTGGAGGCCATCTTGAACACACCCTGACGGGCATAAAACCCTTCGGAGTTACTTCGTACAACGACGGAGGTAGCATCATCGTGGGAGACAGGAAATCAAAGTCTCTCAGAATTTTCGATGAGTTTGGTGCAGATGTTTCGCAGATCGATAATTTAGGATCGTTGGAGTGGCTGTCGGGTCTGGCCGTCAGCAGAGATGGCAATCTGATCATGAGTGATCGAAGCCGGTGCAAGATCATCATCAGTAACATCGGCGGCGAGGTCATCAGCGAGTTTGGCTCGTATGGGTCGGGTGCCAAGCAGCTCTGCATGGCAGACTTTTTCGCGGTGGATACCAAAAATAGGATAATTGTGTGCGATTCCGGAAACCACTGTTTGAAAATTTTTGATTCGAATGGTAATCCCATATCGACTGTTGGTTCTAGAGGAAACAGTGATGGGCTGTCGA